AACACTAATGCTTGCTGGGCAGTGATGTCACACACCTTTAATCTCAGCACCTTAGAGTCACAGCAGGTTGATCTCTGAGTTTGAGGCCAGTCTGGCCCACTAGGAAGTCCCAGACTAGCCAGAGCTGCTTAGTGAGCCTCTGTGTCAAAATAATGAGGTTGATGAGGCTTGGATCCTACCCTTGGGGCTTTTGAATTTATTTTAGCCTTGGGCTTGTTTTTGTTTGTTTTTTTTCCGAGACAGGGTTTCTCTGCGTAACCTGGGCTGCCCTGGCCTGACTTTGTAGACCAGGCCAGTGCCCAACTCACAGCAATCTGCCTGCCTCTGCCTCCATGCCTGGCTCTTTCCCCCCCCCCCCTTTCTTTTTTCCAGTGTTTGTGATTGAATTCAGGGCTTTGTGCCTTCTAGGTATGTACTCTGCCACTGAGTTATAGCCCCAGCCTAAGACATCAGAATGTGTTAAAGCTGTAAAGGTAATTCTAGGACAGTAAAGGCTGAGAGCCACTGTTCAGGTACACCTTTCTGCTACTCTGGCCCTCTGTGGTTCTATGTTCTTCCTAACCATCCTCTTTAAGCCTGAGGCAGTTTATGGGACACTATAAACTTTGGTTCTTTGTTTATCTTTCAGACAGTGTCTTATAGAGTTCAGGCTAGCTACCAGCTTGTGTTGGAGTGGATAAGGCTAATCTTGAGCTTCTGATCCAATTGCCTCCAATCCCAGAGTGCTGGGATCATAGGTGTGTGCCTGGTTTACACTGGGGATTGAACTCTGGGTTTTGTGCCTGCTTACCAAGCACCCTGATACCAACTGACTTACATCCCTAAGCCCCTGCTTAGAAGAGAAACTACATGGTTTTTTGTTTTATTTTGTGGGGTTTTGTTTTGTTTGGTTGGGTTTTTTTTTTTGTTTTGTTTTGTTTTGGTTTGTTTGTCATTTCAGTTCTTTGTAAATTTGAACAAGCATGTGCACGCAGGTCCACACTCATCACAGACTCTGCCTGTGGCCTAGGAAGTTCACTTCACATTTTCTGCTATCTAGGTGTACCATTACCAGCTTAGCATGTTCCTGTGTTCTGCAACTTTAGTTTCATCTGTGTAAGAATCTTGCTCCCTTTTTCAGGAGAGGCAGGGATCGTAAAAGGTGCTGAGGAGTGGGTGGTTCCTCTTACAGGTGGCTGTTGATACATCACCTTTCATCAGGAACTAAAATTACCTTAAAGAGCACAGATCAAATGACACATCAGAAAGCACATTTCATTAAACAGCAAGAAAGGGGACACTGTTTCCCAGGAGAAGAAGAAAAGAAAAGGGTTTCTTTTCTTGTCCAAGGACTTGACAGAACAGCAACTGGATACTTAATGCTCTCAGTAGAAAGACTCCATCTGATTCCTTCTCTCTGACTTGAGGGCAAAGAACAAATGACAGGGAGGAGCCCCACGGGCCCCTTTCTCTAGCATTAGGATGTGCATGAGAGGCACTGGACAGGAGCCAAAGTGGTGAATGCTGCTCTGCTGAAATACTCTGTGCGCTCAGAAAAGTCACCTAACCTCTGCAAGCTTCAGTTTCCTTATCTGCAAAACCAAAACACGCTGCATTTACCTGTGTTTGTGTCTTGGACTAACTGAAACCCTGGACTCTTTCTTTTCCACTTGCAAAAACAGTGCACATCAGTTTCCGTGCTCAGATTCACAAGGCTAAATCTTTGAGATTATCTGAAGTTTTAAAACAACATTGTGTTTTTTATTTATCTATTTGTTTTGTTTCCAAGACAGGATTTCTCTGTGTACCCCTGGGTGTCCTGAAACTTAATCTGTAGACCAGGCTAGTCTTGAACTCAGAGATTTGCCTGCGATTTGCCTGCCTCTGCCTTCCAAGTGCTGGGTTAGAGGTGTGCTCCATCAGCACCTGGTTGTTTTTTGTTGTTGCTGTTGCTGCTGTTTTTTTGAGACAAGGTTTCTCTGTAGCCTTGACTGTCCTGGACTCGCTTTGTAGACCAGGCTGGCCTTGAACTCACAGAGATCCACCTGCCTCTGCCTCCTGAACACTGAGATTAAAGGCGTGGGTCACCATGCCTGACCTGTTTTCAATTTATAAAGATGGTAATTGTTTACCTTTTTTTTTTTTTTTTCCTCCTCTCTGTATAACTCCAGCTGCTCTGGAGCTTCCTATAGACCAGGTTGGCTTAAACTCAGACATCAGCCTGCCTCTGGTCCTGAGTGATGGGGTTAAAGGCATGCACCACCCCTCTCAGCGATTTACTGAAATTTCTTTCTTTTTTTTTTTTTTTTTTTTTTTTTTTATCAGAGCTGAGGACCGAACCCAGGGCTTTGCATTTGCTAGGCAAGCACTCTACCACTGAGCTAAATCCCCAACCCCTTACTGAAGTTTCTTAACAAAGATGTACGCCAATGACAGTACTGAGAAAACAACAAAACTGGGGGATAAGAAATGAGGATGTAGCTCAGTGGTAGAGCTCTTGCCTAGCATTCATGGGGTCCTGGGTTCAACGCTCACAGTGATGCAGTGGACATGGTGGCTCAGGTCTATAATAATCTGAGTGCATGGGTAGAAGAAGCAGGAGGACGAAAGCCAGCCTTAGTTAGCTATGTAGTGAGTTTGAGGCCAGCCTGGGTTAAGAGACCCTATATATATATTTAAAAAAAAAAAAAAAAGCCAACCAGCACACAAAAAGATGTCATTTTAGTGTATGTGTATTTGGGGTTCTCTAATTATTAAAAATATAAATTTCCTAATCCATAAGGCTCTTCAAACTTTAAAAAGTTGAGAGGAGGGGTCTTACATATGTAAATACTACTTTTCTAGCATTTTCTAGTCTGGGCATACAGTTCAGCGGTGGGACACTTGGCTCAAGGGTCCATCTCCAGCGACACGGAAAAACAAACGACAACAGCAAAAAACAGTTTTCAATTTGTCTGCTTTCAACATATTTCTCTGATAAAGATAGTGCATATAAACTATTGTCTCTTTATAAAAAAGGGAGTTACAGTCGGTATAACTGGCCCCAGTTTCTCAGCCAGGCAAAAAGAGAACTGGGCAAGACTGTGATCCCAGCATCTGAGGAAGAGACAGGAAGGTTGGGGGTTCAACCAGAAGGCTCAGCTACCCAAACCGCATCTCAAAAACAGACAGTGGTTCGGGAGCCAGTCGTGGAGGGAGGGTGGTAGCACATACCTGTAGGCTTAGTATTTGGGAAGCTGAGACAGAGCTGTGAGTTCGAAGTCAGCCTGGGCTACATAGTGAGGACGGTACAACCAAGAGAGGTCCCGAGATCACTTTTTACATGTAAAAATAAAGGATTTTAAGAAGTGAGGGACCCTCTAACTCTCATTTCAAGGAAGAAGAATGCAGAGCACCTGGTCTAAGGCACCTTATCCCTAACTTACTCTTCTCTGGTGGAAAGCAGGCCCCTCCCGTGGAGGTGAGCAGGTGTCAGTCTAGGAATTCAGATCTGCTTGGGGCTGTTAGGGGCCTTGGATCCTGAGCGGCAGACTGTGAAAGCCCATTCCGCATCTTCCCTATTGTTTCAAAAGGAGCTCCCCTCCCCCAAGATTGGAGCTGGTGGACCTCCTTAGGCCTTTGCAAGCTAATATCTTTCTTAATTGTCCACTTTAGGGACGGGGGGGAGGGGGTCTTGGAGAGTAGCGAAGAGGGCGCTGAACGGGAGAGGGCTTCTTTTAAGTACGAACTCCACGCGTTTGGTAGGGCGGATGGACTGTGGACTAGCTTGTACTGAGCTTTATTCTGGGGGAAGGGCTTAGTGTTCCTCAAGAAGGGGCCTCAAATGACTTCCTTGGGAATTCTATCTTGAAACCCGCCGCCCCCGAGAAACTTCTTTTGTGAAGAGGAATGAGGGTAGGATGGGAGTAGGGGGTGAAGACAAAACTTGAGATCATTCTGCGGTGTGCGAGCTGGTCAGGGGGTGGGTGTTTGGGGCCGCTCCTCCCATCCTTGCCCTCCGACCTCCGGTGCAGGCAGACCACCCTTTGGAATCCACGTTTTCCAAGCTCAGCAGATCCTTTATCCGAAGAAAAATTACTGAAGCCTATCGCCGTCATCTATTGAGCCGGCAAGGTTTCCCACTGTGCGCTTGGGAATGACCCGGTGGAAGCGGCTCGGATAAAGACATCTGGGGTGGGGAGCAGGCAGAGGATAGGGTGCAGTGGGTCCCCAAGGTGCTTCACCGCACCCGACCCAGAGCCAGAGCCAGGGTAAAGCTTTCTAGACTTGCCCCCTGCATGCACTCTCCGCTCTCGCCTCCTCCAGCTTTCGTCTCCCTCCCTGGCAGTTTCTTGCCACAAACTCTCCTCCCCCACCTCCCCTCTACCAGCTTTCGCGCTCCAGCTCCTCCCCTCCTCCGCGCCTTCGCGCTCCCCTCCCCCTCCGCCGCTGTTTCCCTGCCCCCGCCACCGCCGATCTCCTCCGCAGTCTGGGCCGCTGGGCGCAGGGGCTGCCGCAGCGCCGGCGGCCACCGACGCCTCCCCAGACCGGATACCCATTGTGTCCTACCCCTATCCCGCCTTCCACTTCCCCACAGCCATGGCGCAGGAAACCGGGAGCAGCTCTCGATTCGGGGGTCCCTGCGGGGAGCCTGCGGAGCGCGGAGGTGCGGTAGGGCCGGGTTTGGGCAGAGAAGGGGGCCGAGGGGATGGTCGCGTGTAAGGACTTTGAGTGGGCGGACAAGGTGTGTGATTCTGCACATAGGCCCCAGTTCTCACATCCATTCCCACTCTTCCTGGGCCAGAGGAGGGGGAGGGGCGACGGAGGAGGCTCGGAGTGTGCGCGCCCTATCGCCCCCCCCTTTTGCTGGGTGTCCGGGAGCCACGCGGGTCCGTCCTGTTTGAGTGCAAGCTTCCCGCAGGGTCTGACTTTAAGCTTATGTTCCGATTCTGACTGGCAGTTCCTGGGGCTGCGGGTTCTTTAGAGTCTCCGACACCCAACACAACCGCATTACCCATACTCTCTCCTTGTCTTCTCCCCAGGTGATGCTAGCGAGGAGGACCACCCCCAAGTCTGTGCCAAATGCTGCGCACAATTCTCTGACCCGACCGAATTCCTCGCTCACCAGAACGCATGTTGTACTGACCCACCCGTAATGGTGATAATTGGGGGCCAAGAGAACCCCAGCAACTCTTCAGCCTCCTCTGCGCCCCGGCCTGAGGGCCCCGGTAGGCCCCAGGTCATGGACACAGAGCACAGCAATCCCCCAGATTCTGGGTCCTCTGGTCCCCCGGATCCCACCTGGGGGCCAGAGCGGAGAGGAGAGGAATCTTCAGGGCATTTTCTGGTCGCTGCCACAGGTACAGCGGCTGGAGGAGGTGGGGGCCTCATCTTGGCCAGTCCCAAGCTGGGAGCAACCCCATTACCTCCAGAATCCACTCCTGCACCCCCTCCTCCACCGCCACCCCCTCCCCCTCCAAGTGTCGGCAGTGGCCACTTGAACATTCCTCTGATCTTGGAAGAGCTGCGCGTGCTGCAGCAGCGCCAGATTCATCAGATGCAGATGACTGAGCAAATCTGCCGCCAGGTGCTGTTACTTGGCTCCTTAGGGCAAACGGTGGGTGCCCCTGCCAGTCCCTCAGAGCTCCCTGCGACAGGAGCTGCCTCCACCACCAAGCCCCTACTGCCCCTCTTCAGTCCCATCAAGCCTGTCCAATCGGGCAAGACGCTGGCATCTTCCTCCTCCTCCTCCTCCTCCTCCTCCTCAGGGGCAGACCCCCCTAAGCAGGCTTTCTTCCACCTTTACCACCCGCTAGGATCGCAGCACCCCTTCTCTGTCGGAGGGGTTGGGCGAAGCCACAAACCTACCCCTGCCCCCTCCCCTGCCCTGCCAGGCAGCACAGATCAGCTGATTGCCTCACCTCATCTAGCATTCCCGGGCACCACAGGACTCCTGGCCGCTCAGTGTCTTGGGGCAGCAAGGGGCCTTGAGGCTGCTGCCTCCCCGGGGCTCCTGAAGCCAAAGAATGGAAGTGGTGAGCTGGGCTATGGGGAAGTGATCAGCTCGTTGGAGAAGCCCGGCGGAAGGCACAAATGCCGCTTTTGTGCCAAAGTGTTCGGCAGTGACAGCGCCCTGCAGATCCACCTTCGTTCCCACACCGGTGAGAGGCCCTACAAGTGCAACGTCTGTGGTAATCGCTTCACTACTCGCGGCAACCTCAAAGTACACTTCCACCGCCATCGGGAGAAGTACCCACACGTGCAAATGAATCCGCATCCAGTTCCAGAGCACCTAGACTACGTCATCACCAGCAGCGGGCTGCCCTACGGAATGTCTGTGCCACCAGAGAAAGCGGAAGAGGAGGCGGCCACGCCAGGGGGCGCTGTTGAACGCAAACCTCTGGTGGCCTCTACCACAGCTCTCAGCGCTACAGAGAGCCTGACGCTGCTCTCCACGGGCACGAGTACGGCCGTGGCTCCTGGGCTCCCCACGTTCAACAAGTTTGTGCTCATGAAAGCGGTGGAGCCCAAGAGCAAGGCCGATGAGAACACTCCCCCGGGGAGTGAGGGCTCAGCCATCGCTGGAGTAGCGGACGGTGGCACGGCCACCCGAATGCAGCTAAGTAAGCTGGTGACCTCGCTGCCCAGTTGGGCACTGCTCACTAACCACTTGAAGTCAACGGGAAGTTTCCCCTTCCCCTATGTGCTGGAACCCTTGGGGGCCTCGCCTTCTGAGACATCAAAGCTGCAGCAGCTGGTAGAAAAGATTGACCGCCAAGGAGCTGTGGCAGTGGCCTCTACTGCCTCAGGCGCCCCCACTACTTCTGCCCCTGCACCTTCAGCCTCGGCCTCTGGACCTAACCAGTGTGTCATCTGTCTCCGAGTGCTGAGCTGCCCTCGGGCTCTGCGCCTGCATTATGGCCAGCATGGAGGTGAGCGGCCCTTCAAGTGTAAGGTGTGCGGCAGGGCTTTCTCCACAAGGGGCAATTTGCGTGCGCATTTTGTGGGCCACAAGACCAGTCCAGCTGCCCGGGCCCAGAACTCCTGCCCCATCTGCCAGAAGAAGTTTACCAACGCCGTCACTTTGCAGCAACACGTGCGGATGCATCTCGGGGGCCAGATCCCCAACGGTGGGTCCACACTTCCTGAAGGTGGAGGAGCTGCCCAGGAAAGTCACTCTGAGCAATCTACAGTCTCTGGACCGGGGAGTTTCCCTCAGCAGCAATCCCAGCAGCCGTCACCTGAAGAGGAGTTGTCCGAGGAAGAGGAGGAGGAGGAAGAAGAGGAAGATGTGACGGATGAAGATTCCCTAGCAGGAAGAGGCTCAGAGAGTGGGGGTGAGAAGGCCATATCAGTTCGAGGTGACTCAGAAGAGGTATCTGGGGCAGAGGAGGAAGTGGCCACGGCCGCGGCGGCACCCACCACAGGGAAGGAGATGGATAGTAATGAGAAAGGCACTCAACCATCTGTTCTGCCGCCACCCCCACCCCCACCACCCGACAGCCTAGATCATCCCCAACCCATGGAGCAGGGAACCAGCGATGTTTCCGGAGGCATGGAGGAAGAGGCCAAACTGGAGGCGACCTCAAGCCCGATAGCAGCCATCACCCAAGAAGGAGAGAGTACAGGCACCCCTCTGGTGGAGGAGCTGACAGTACCAGAAGCCATGAAAAAGGAGCCAGGAGAGAGCAGCAGCAGAAAGGCCTGTGAAGTGTGTGCCCAGACCTTTTCAACCCAGACAGCTCTGGAGGAGCATCAGAAGACCCATCCGAAGGAAGGGCCACTCTTCAGTTGTGTCTTCTGCAGGCAGGGCTTCCTTGACCGTGCTATGCTCAAGAAGCACGTGCTGTTGGCTCACCATCAGGTACCACCACCCTTTGCACCCCATGGCCCTCAGAATATTGCTACTCTTTCCCTGGTGCCTGGCTGTTCCTCTTCCATCACTTCCCCGGGGCTCTCCCCATTCCCTCGAAAAGATGACCCTGCCATCCCATGAGCCTGTTTTCTGTACCTGGTTCTCTCTGACCCAGGGAACGGAAACTGAGAGAGCTCCGTAGAAGGACCTCCCAAGATTTACTCACCCTTCTCTTGTCTTTTCTCAAGTTCTGACATGATGTTTTTAGTGGCTTCTCTCTAGTCCCTGAGCTTGAAAATTGCATTTGAAAGGGGATGCCCCCTAAGAAGAATTTTTAATCACCTTTTTGTTCTATGTAACTAAGGAAAACAAATTCTCTATAGCTCCCATATTCTCAAGGGGAGCCCCCTCCTCATCTCCCTTTCCCTTCTTTGGAATGGCAGCCTTGCTCAAAAGGGCTGGCAGTTGTATATGGAGGGCCCAGTGATCTTGACCAAGTCACCCTGCAAGACTTCTTGTACCAGGACTTTCTTGAGAAGCTTGTATGGGGTGGGGTTCTTACCTTTCTGCAACCAGTACCCAGTTTTCTTGTCAGGTGGCCTACCCGCCAAGCCCTGGAGTTCTAGATCCACCAGCATTGCCACTTGAGCCCTAGCACCATCGTTGCTGTTAAGCCCAGGAACTGTGTTTGAGAAGGTGACTCCAAGAACACGACCCAGAGAGGCAGAGTAGAACATAACCTGTTCCAGCCTCCTGTAGCTGAGGCGGTGCCCAACAAGCACACCAGAGAAAAGAAATAACAAACTGTAACTTACTTCTCCTTCCCCCTTCTCCAAAGGGTGCTGGCAATGAAGATATTCTAGTAATTGGTGGCTCAACCCTAGGAGGTAGAGAAGAATAAAGGACTGGGATACTTTTTTTCAGCATGTCCCTTGAGTCTTCACATTAAGGCAAAGATATTGGCTGGTCAAGATGCAAGGATTCCTTCCTCTTCTCGTTTATCATGGCCTCTCAACCAACAAGCAGATTTCTTGCAAAGAGGTCTCTCATGCGATATTTTAGGAAGTATACAGTTCATGACTTTAAAGAGCCTTGTTGGTGAGGGTAGTTAATGATGGACTGTTGAGGAGTGTTACTGAAGCAAGAATTGCTGGGAACGTGTTTGATGAAGAACAGGACATGATGTAAGGGGGAGGGGCTTCAGCTCCTGTGAGTATGAACATTCTCAGAAATGTTCCTTTGGGCTAATGGTGACATGGTATGCAGAGACCCCGAGGGCTGTGGGGGAGGGGAACTTTCTGGTATTAGAATGCTTTTAGTTTTAGATAGCTCCCTGTTTTATTCTCTTGTCCCTTGTATTTCTCTCACTCTCACCGTCTTCTCAAACACCCTTTCCTCTCCAATTTTGCCCGACCATGGGCCAGAGCTTATGTCTTAATTTTTTTGTCTGCTTCTACAAGTCCCAGGCATTGAGAGACGGGCTTCAAATGGTTCCTTCCTGCTTCTCTGTCTTGTAGTGAGATGTAGTGTTTACTCTTAACATAGGATCCTGTGGAACAGGTGTTCTGAGGAGGAGACTGAATTTTGCTATTAGCTAATGTCAATGATGATTCTCTAAAGTAGCGGGCTCCAGAGCTCCCTAACACAGTGAAATGTGTAAGAGCAGAGAAAGGAGATACTAGTGTCTTTCCTTTCATCATTAAAGGTGTTTTGGCCAAGCATCTGTGTGTTTCCTATTTTGTGACTAAATAGCCAGATTGGGTGTGATATTGGCATTCCCTAACATGGAGATTCCCTTCCCACGTTTTTCTCCTGCCAAAGCTGGGCATATGGTATAGTAGAAATACTTAACTTCCTCAGCCTTGTCCTAAAACAACCTCAGGCAAATGTAATTTCACTGCGAGGGGAAAAAAGCTTTTTAAAACAAAGGTTCTATCTTTCAAAGGGCATTTGCCCAGTGTCCAGCCAATGCCAAGGTTTTCCCTTTAGGACTTTCTGCCAGTTTCTACCAAAACACAACTTTGTGTTGTTTTGTTTGAGTTTGGAAGCTTTTCATCAGTCTTGCCCAGACTTCAAGCAGCCCACTGACATCACTGAATCTATATACCATGATAACTGATACTCTGTGATTTTTGAGAATCAATGTTCTAATCGGAAAAGGAAAAATTCTGTGTTCTTACTATTAAGAACACAGACAAAGGGGCTAGAAAGATAACTGAGCAGTTAAGAGCACTGGCTCACTGGCTGCTCTTCCAGATGACCCAGGTTCAATTCCCAGTACCCACATGGTGACTCATAATTATCTGTTCACTCCATTCATGGGAGATCTGATGCCTTTTCTGGCGTCTTCAGATACCAGATACACAGTGCAAATACACATGCAAGCAAAACACAAACAAAAAATAAAAGTTTTTGAAAACAAGAAAGTAAGCTGGGCAATGGTAATGCACACCTTTAATCCTTGCATGGAGGTGTCGTGGGATGGGGCGGTAATTGTTGTGGAGAGGCAGGTGGATCTGAGCTCCAGGCCAGCCTCGAACTCACAGAAAAACTTTCTTGAGAGATAGATAAGTAAATAGTGGAGAGGAGAGGGCTAGGGATGTGGCTCAGTTGGTAGAGTGCTTGCTTAGTATGCACAGAAGAAGCCATCAACCTCATCCTCGGCTGCACAGTGAGGCAGAGACTAGCCTGAGATACATGAGAACCTTTGTCCTTTGTTTTGTGACAAGGTCTCTACGTAGCTCTGGCTGTGCTGGAACTCACTATGTAGACCAAGCTGGCCTCAAACTAACAGAGCTCTGCCTCCCTCATGCTGGTTTAAAGGCTTGTACCACAATGCCAGGCAGAGAACCTTGTCTTTATTATTATTATTAATTAACTTTTATTTTATGTGCATTAGTGTTTTGCATGCATGTATATCTGAAGATCCTGAAGTTACAGACACTTGTGAGCTGCCATGTGGGTGCTGGGAATTGAGCCATCTTTCCATCTTTCCAAAGAACTGTGTCTATAAAAAGTATATATGCATGTGTATGTGGCATGAAATAAGTGTGTATTATTATTATCATCATCATTTTTTAAACTTTGTCTTTCCACAACATGGTAAAGTTCTGAATTTTTCTCTAAGACCTTGCTCTTCCTAAAGAATTGACTTTCTAGGAGTAAGGGTGTAACTTGGCAATAGAACACACGAGAGGCCCAGGGTTCAACGGCAGAAAACCACCCTAGCAATCACACACACACAAAAGAATGCTGAATTCTCCAGTTGTTGTTGGTTTTCGGTTTTTTGTTTTCAGTTTTTCTGTCCTATTTTGTTTGTTTGTTTGTTTTTTCTGTTTTGTTTTGTTTTCAAGACAGGATTTCTCTGTATCCCTGGCTGTCCTGGAACTCAGTTTGTAAACCAGGCTGGCCTTGAACTCAGAGATCCACCTGCTTCTTTCTCCCACATGGTGCGGTTGAAGGTGTGTGTGCTGCCTTTGTGCAGCATTTTTCCCCTTTATAAGATAATGTCAGCCGGTTGTGGTGGCACACACCTTGATCCCAACTCAGGCAGAGGCAGGCAGATCTCTGTGAATTCCAGGCCAGCCTGATTGACAGAGTCCAGGGCAGCCAAGTCTACACACAGAGAAACCCTGTCTCGAAAAACCAAAAATGATGTCACCAAACCTTCAGGCTAAAGGAATGTAATTGATTTTAAAAGATCAAAGCACAGTGTCTCAGACCAAGACTCAGACAGGCACAGTGGCACACCTGTGGATCAAGAATCTCAAGTCAGCCAGGCAGTGGTGATACAGACCTTTAACCCAGCACTCAGGGAGACAGAGGCAGGTGGATTTCTGTGACTTTGAGTCCAGCCTGTTTTACAGAGTGAGTTCCAGGCCAGTTAAGGCTACAAAGAGAGAAACCCTGTCTCAAAAAAACAAAAACAAACAATCTCATCGTTGCCTGTATAGGGGTTGATGACCAACCTGGACTATATGAGACTATCGAAAAAGAACAACCCAAAAAGAAAGAAAGCAACAAATAAAGAACCAGGTGTAGGGGGAGGGGGGAGTTGGAGAACTGTCATGGTGGTATTGGGGAGGGGATCTCAGGAGGATCACAAAAGTGGAAGGCTAGCGTGGACTACATGACACTACTGAGAAGAAAAACTAGATCCTTAGATCCCAGTCTTAGTAGTATTTCCAGGAATCAGGTTCTGTTTTCCTGCTACATGGATACTTCTGACAGAAGGCTCCCTGAAAGACACAGGTGAGTAAATGTATTCTTCACTCTGTTAAAAATAAAGAACAACTATTTGATTCTGGATGCCCCTACCAAAACAATGCAGGAAGCCGTCTTTAACAGATGGGAATCATGGGAAGTTAAGGAAAGAGAAACAGCTTCTTTGTTTTTAATTCCTGGCAAAGCTTTGTAAATAGATATGGAGCTTGTTTGAGCTTATGGAGGAAAGGAAAATGACTTGATTCTTCCATTCCTTTAACCTCCTTCATCCCCACTGGCCATAGATAATTAAACCAGAATGGCCTGCTAGTTAGTTGTCAGTTCTCATTATGGTAACAGCTGTCAGTGAGCTTTCTTTGACGCTAAGCCTGTCTCTCCACACTCTTTCAGGCTTTTTTCTATCCATCTTTCCTGTTCTACTTTTCTTGCTTTTCTGCTGTTTTCTTTTTTCTCTTCACAGCTAATTCATTTTTCTGGATGCCTTTGATTTTTTCTTGCTAGGACCCCGTCTTTGCTCTCAATTTCCACTGGATCATGTTCTTGGAAGTTGAGTTAATGTTAACATGATAGAATGAGTATATGTAAATGGAGCTTGCAAAACATTTAGTTCAGACAGAAGAAACAGAATGGGGGGTAAATGTGTGGATGGGAAGCAAGAGACAGCTACATTTCTCACTCATTCACTTAGTTCACGAGCATTTATCTACCTCCCAGTTCTTAGGTAAGAGGGTAAATGAGACATGACAGCACTTCCATGAGCCCATTCGAAGAGGATGAATTATTTAAACAGATTCTTTTATATGGTGGAAAGTACTGTGACAGATAAGAAAAATATGTTCTGTAGGATCCTAGAGATAACTAAGTCAAATCGAACACTAGAAATGGGACAAGACTATACAATAGCCATTCCTTTTTTTGTTGCTTTAATTTACTTTTCGTTATATGTACATTAGCGTTCTGCTTACATGTATGTCTGTGAGGGTGTCAGATGCCCTGGAACTAGAATCACAGACAGAGTAGGCTGGGCTTGTGGCTGAGGCCTATATTCTCAGCCCCTGGGGAATTGGAAAGAATTGCAAGCTCAAGATGTTCGTGGGTTACAGAGTAAGTTCAGAGCTAGCCTGGACAATTCAGTAAGGCTATGTAAGAACAGAAAAGAGCTGAGGACACTGATCACCTAAGACCCTGTCCCAAAACATGAGTGATGAGGCCATGTGAGGTCCTGGTCACTTCTGATGCTATAAAAAAGAAAAAGTTTGAGCAGGACTGAAACAACAAAATTACAACATTCAATCAAAGAACTAAATACATGCAAAGTTGGGTGGTAGTATGGGTGTTTAAGTAATTCACTACAGCCAGGCCTGGTGGCCCACACCTGCAATCCCAGAACTCGGGGAGGCAGGTGGATCTCTGTGAGCTCCGGGCTAGCTTGATCTACAAAGTGAGTCCAGGACAGTCATGGCTACACAGAGAAATCATGTCTCAAACAAAAAACAAAAACAAAAACAAAACAAAACACCACTATGTCACAAATCATTTTAGAACTTTGCATTATTACTGTGTACAATCACTTAGCAGTTTTATATTCATGATTCCACGGTTGCCTGGGCAGAATGTCTTGTCTATATTCTCTGTGGAGAAATCAGTACAGGAAGCATCAATTTAGGCTAGAAAATTCATGGCCTTTCAATTCTGGCACCTTGGATGGATGGGTGAAATGCTGCTTCCCCTCCCTTGTTTTTTTCTTTGCCATTTTTAATTCTTTAAATATTCCCCTCTTTTCACCTTAACACCCATGAAGACCCAGGATCCAGGAGAGCAAATATGAGGTGCAAATCTTAAGAGTCTCGGTTCTAGAACACAGGAAATATCACTCTTGCCACATTTTGTTTACTAAATCTAGGTGGAAACCAGTTCACACTCAAAAGGAAAAAATAAAATTAATAGGAAGAATTGAAAGGTCTTCCATCCCACCTAAGAATGTGAAGAACTGGAGACTCTGTGACCATCTGTGGAACCAACTCCCACAACACGGAGGCAAAGCGGAGTGTGAGAAGTGTAATGTCTGCTCATCATCAGGCTCACACTCTGATTTGCTCTGCTGCCCTGGAGATAGATCTCTAGCATTGTGCATACTAGGTACATGCTTTACCAATGAACTATACCCCCAACACCCTTTAAAAAAAAAAGCTTTGATTATTTAGGTCATATTTTATTAGTTTTAGTAATCAAACTACTGTAGACAAGACCTTACATGTAATATAGTCTTGTTACCTCTGTACAAGTGGAAAACAATAGTTTAACATTTCTAGAACAATAGGGTTGTTAATTTCTATACAACTGTATGCTGCCAACTTAATCCAGTAAACTGTGATATCTTCACTAAAATTGACAGAACAGCTAAAGCTCAAAAGTTCAAATTATAGCCAGGTGAGGTGGCACACGCCTTTAATTTCAGCATTTGGGGGGCAGAGGCAGGTGGATCTCTGTG